GTAAAACTTTGACAAAAAGAAATTTGCGACTCTCGAGTTTGATTGCAGATTACTACGAAGTTGGACGCACAAAGGTGTAGTTCACAATTCACTCTGCCAGATCCTGCGAAAGACTAACCTAAATTCTGTAAAGCGTTTCGGCTGCAGTGGGTCGATCGGCAGGGTCCACTGCAACACAAGCATACCCCAACTCTGCCAACGCGGGAGGACTCGCCTCCTAAAACTCCACGCGAGCTTCTCCTGCAGTGATTTTCTGCAGCAACGTGGCGGTTGTGTCCAAACTCCGCTGCTTGGTCTGTGCATAAGGCAACGTGTGCACATCCAGCTCTGACAGCACCACACCGAAAGAGAAAACGTCAGCTTTGACGTCGTATTTCTCGCCCAGCATCACCTCCGGCGCCATCCAGAGCGACGTCCCCACACCAGCTGTCATCGTTCGATCGATACGCTCATTCGAGATGCAGAAATCCGTCAACTTGGCTTCTCTTGACTGGTTTAACAGGATATTGCGGGACTTGAGATCTCGATGGATGCCTGGATGCATAAGCGAGTGGAGGTAAGTGAGAGCATGACACACATGAAGCGCTATAGTCGCCTTCTCGCGATCGACTCCGACTGGGTGTTTAGTGGCCTCGTACTTGTTCAATAAAGACTGTAAGTCTCCTCCGTCCATGAGCTTAAGAACAACACAGATCCGAGAGTGAATCCCATGCAACACCGACAAAAGTGACGATACGCGGGTGATCCATGGACGAAGTTAGTTTGGCTTCGGTGAGGAAATCTGTGACGTGTTGAAGATTTCCTCTCGTGGAAGGGAGCAACATTTTTACAGCAACCTGCTGTCCATTGAAGACCGCAGATTAAACTTCTCCATAGCCCCACGACTGAGGAGTTTCTTGACTTTCACCTTGTCCCGTGGGATCCTCTTGGCAGTGATGACATCATCGTTTCAGAGTCCCGTTTGTCCACTCATCGCAGCTTCAAGGGAAGTCAAGTCACCTGATGGCAACGTCGCAGTCCATTGTCCTCCCTGCTTCCCCTTCGACCGGCGTCGGCACTTGTAGATAATAGCGACGATGACAAGCAGCAGAAGCACAACACAGCCACAAGTGACCCCGATAATTGCTCCAGTAGTCACACCCCCACCGCCGTCGGAGCTGTTGCTACTGCACCACCGAGTGTAGCCCGTGCCCTTATACAAATATGAGCTGTAGTCGAGTGGGACGCACTCTCCACTCTCCAGCGTAGTCTTAGGAGCAGCAACTGCACCGATATCCGTGGTGGTTGACGAGTCCGTGATCACTGAGCAGTCCAACGTCGTGAAGAACTCAAGCTGCGCTGTGCCTTCCTCTGGCAGTGACGCAATGAAGAAGAACAATCCTTCATAATAGCTCTCCACTGCAACGTATCCTAATTCGCAAGACCCGGTCACTCGGTACCCGACGGCGTAATAAAAAGTAGTGCAGCTGGAATCCGTGTAGACGACTTGGATGACGTACTGGGAAGTACCGAAGCTCTCCTTCATTGTCTCGAGATATTCCGACGTGCATTCTGTTGTTCCATTGTCGAAGTTCCCGTCGGTGAAGCAGGTCCCCTCGGTACACGTATCAGGCTCGTGAGCTCGCACCGCGTTCGGTGTGTCGCTGTAGGAGTCGAGATTCGCGTAGAATTTGTCAATAGCGTACGCAGTTGCAATCGAAGGCGGCCAGATATTGGCTACCACTAGCAGCAGGGACGCTACTAGCTGGAAACGACCCATCTCGTCGTCGAAAGGTCCAATGCGCTAGTCTGGGCGAAATAAAAAATGAGGCCGCTCTGGTAGAACTTCTACCATAGCAGCCTCACTTTTTCTACTAGAAGCGGCTAGTCACCGACCCCACGCACAAATCACATGTGTGTCGATGGGTTCACAAGGCAATTGGTCAACTAGCGCGCCTCACCTATCCTGGATTTTCAGCGTTTCGATTCGTGTCGAGTTAAAATTTGTGGAGTCCGTGGAAGCATGTGCGACGCTTGGGTACAGGAAGCATCCTACTCTTAAACGAGGCGTTGCGCAGCAAGCTGCCAGCAACAAACAGTAAGAGACGGCGATGGGTCGAATGAGGTTAATACCGTTGGAGATGCATGTACATGTACTCTGCGCGTGAAGGTATTTTTTTAGGCAGTCGTTATTGTCCAGGTTTCGCAGACATGGATATAGGTGTAGGTCTACTCAGATCCAGGTATTTCACATGTTTTAGCCCAATGATTTTGAGTTACCGGGATATATTACCATTCAAATAATTCGTAGATATCGGATACCTGAGAACGACATACAGTAGTGTGCGCTACTTGGGCAAAAGTCAAAGTGAAAAATAAAAAAACATTTTTCAGGTATCCGAGAATACTACTAGAATGATCAAAGGCAGCATGTAAATACAGGTATTTCCCAGGTAAATGCCAGGTATTATTGCTTACATCCCAGCGGCTTCAACCTCAACTACACGCAATGTTTAACCTTTAAAATGCTTTGCAAAATTCTCCGACGCAGCTTGGTAATACCAGCCTTGGTCACGTCACTTGGCGCCTCGGCTGATACAGACTTGCACAGCTGGAGACACACAAGCACACCACAACTGTCGCTATCATGCTGTAGAGGTCCATTGACAGTGATCTCATCGTACACGTCTGGATATACAGCAACGATTTCATCTGCGATGGTCTTCAAACGCTTTAAGTACATGGCGGAGCCCATACTGTCGTACCTTTTAAGTCTTCTTAGAGATCCCGTCGATCACTAAACATACCCAGTGGGCACCGATCAAGTTCATAGGCATCAACAAGAACTGTCGAGAATCCAAGCTACTACGAATTTGATGCAGCTGCTGGTCCGCGAGAACAGGTTCTGCCTTGACCGGCTTCTTCAGAGCCTGCTTCTTGACCAGGGGAATCGTCACGGTCGTGTTGCTCATGTACGTACCAAAAAATAGAGAATGCACGCATAATGGCGTCATTCAACCTCGTACTGTCTCGAACGCAGAAAAGATCTGCTCCAGCGACGTCAAATCCGAATTTAGGTACAGCCAGGTATGGCCAGGTTTTCAAAAAATCATCGAAAGCAGCAGTTACAGCCAGGGGCTCCTCCGCCAGACTCTTCACTTCATTGTTTAGCCAAGTGCAGAGAAGTATGCCACGATGACAGGTCTCTTGCAGATTCCACAACCACTTCATCTGCTCCACCTGCTCTCTTGTATAGGTGCCGATCTTTTCGATGACCAAGACGTACTTATTTGCAGCACTGAAAGCTTCTCATTCGCTGTCCAACTAGATTTCTTACTTTACCCGGATGATGAATTTCGCAGTAAGTCAAGTGCGCGGTCTACCGTTTGTTTAGACGAACATTGTCCGCAACGTAGCTCGTGCTGGGCCGCCACGCCATCGACAGTTTTGCCGTGGCCTTCCCAAGCACTTAAAAGGTCGCTAGGAATGCTGCTATCTCACGCATGCCGAGCTGAATCTCTTTCAAGGAACTAGCCACTTCGCACACGTCCCGACCTCGAAGCAGGCCGCGCAGTTTCATTCCTTGGTTGAATTCCTTCAAGTCTGCCTTCGTCTATGCTCGTGGCTCCCTAAACGGTTTAATCTGGGATGCCCCCTGGAATAACGCTGCTATTAAGTTTGATATTATAACAGGTAGATTGGCTCCACTTGCTGTTGCTCCGTTTTCTTGTTAAACGGTACATTTTCCGACTCCTCAGAACTTGGCGATACCCCACCGCAAATAATACCAGAAGCGTCTCCCAGAATCGCGACCATTTGTGCCCTCAGTCGTTTCCATCAGCACTTGCACCAGTACTTTCATTAGAGCCACCGGGGTTACGACTGTCTGTCTGCTCCTGGGGGTTCATTGAAATCTGACCCCGAAGATTTTACTACCACCACTCAAATTGAGTTATTGCTTCGTTGAAGGCGCTTCGTTCAACTGAGTAAGCTCCCTACTAATCGGTCCAAAAGCTTGCTGAGCTCGACGACATTTCTCTTGTTCGGTGCAGACCGAAAGCACCTACCTCACTTCAATAACCACACAAACAATCGTGTGGAAAGCCTGTTTAGCAAAGTGAAGCAGCATCTAAAGGTACAAAGGATAGACATGGACATTGCGTCTGCCGCCAGACTAGTGGAGCAAATTACTCTTGAGTTTATTAAAATATGTGATAACGCTCTTCATGACGACGATCCAGCCGGTTTTAATGCGATTTGGGAAAGAGCAGAGAAATCTTGTGAAGCTTTGGTCTTCGAACCTGAAGAATCTCTAGTATTTGATAAACACGCACAGTGGGTTAGGCGGGGAGTGCGATACCGTGGCAAAGGACGACCCGGTGTACCTGGAGCTGATGTACCCACTCGGTTAAACGTTACTCAAGAAAGCCATTATCACAAGGATGTCTATGAAGCTATTCTAACCGATATTATTCAAGAGCTGCAGTCACGTTTCGGTCAAAGTATGATTTAATTGATGGAATTGTGTGATAGTGCACGCTCTAAAGACTCTTTCAGGCGTTGGAAGGAAGATGCATTACTCGAATTGCTAAAGAGTACTACTATGATGATTTTGCAAACCAATAGGAAACTTTGAGGTCCGACGCTAAGCGACTAGAACAACTTGGAAAACAAGAAAGCCGATTGACTTGCTTGAATACGACTGAAGATCTAAGCGTCGCAATGGCTGAGTTCGACATGCATGCAATCTTCCCAACACTTTACAGAATCATATGTATAGTGTGTGGGCTTCCCCTGTGAACTGCAGGCACGGATCGGTCTTTTTCAGTGATGAAAAGAGTAAAGTCACGTCTAAGAACTACACATGCTCACGATATGCTGTCGGATTTGGTACCGGGATTAATTCGAGATTTTTGTGCGAACACCAATAGCTAGTATCGATTAGATACAAATTTCAAATGAGAAAGTCTTATTTTTCTACCAATTTGTAAAACCTTCACGGGTTTTACTCCACAGTACAGGTTTGGCATGGGTATAAACTGATACCAAACCGAAGGCTCTTCCAGGACCATTTTCGCATGGATGCTGAAACATTTGACGAGCTGTACAAGATCTGGAAGCCGCACATTCGCAACTTTCTTCAATACCCACGCGAAGTGCTAGCCGTAGCGCTGAATTGGATTGGATCAACAGCGACGTTTCGTAGCCAAAACGTCCTCTTTGACCTGGCGTACTCGACTGTCCACAAGTATCGTGTGCACGGCGCCTACGCAATTGTACGAGTTTGCAGGATCCAGTCGTTATATCAGCGGTTCCGAGCTCGTTTAAGGCGGCTCACCCGTATTTTGACCAGGCCTTATGGGCCATTGATGGTACACACTTCAGCATCGTCGTTCCCACTGAGGAAATCAAGCGTTACCGCAATCATAAAAGGTTTATATATATCAACGTGCTCACCGCTTGTGACTCAAGCATGAACGTTTGTTTTATTTACCCTGGTGCTGAAGGAAGTGCGCACGACTCGATGGTATTGCAGTGGAGTAGTTTTATGGACATGCTTCCTGAAAACTTTTACATGCTCGCGGATGCTGGATATGCATTGAGTCCTCAAGCTCTAACACCATATCGTGGAGCTCGATACGTTTTGAAGGAATGGGCAATTTCATCTCGGCGGCCACGCAATGGCAAAGAACTCTACAACCTGCGTCAGGCGAAGGCAAGAAACGTTGTGGAGCAAGTAATCGAATTGCTCAAACATCGATTTAGAGTGCTCCGCTCCTGTATGGAAGAATATTATCACTTATCCGACCTCTCTTAAGTTTAGTATCATCATTAGTGGCCAATA